ATGTCGAGTTGAGATATTTCGAATCGATATTTCAGCTTTGATAGTTTGAAATATCGATGCTGAGTTTACATTTGTTCGTCGAAGAATCCAAGTACCCAAGTCTTATTTTGTATACATTTAATTAAAAGAAGGGCAGGAAAGTATGAATATAATGATAATTAATTGTAAGCAAATGACGAGGATAGCCACCAGTTTGTTGACAAATGGTGGTAACCTTTCAAGAAAATACACTACTACTGTAACCGATTACAAAATTACTTGGGTACGACCAGAGAAAGTGTCGTATTTGTCATTTGAAAGATCTGGTGATCAAGGATTAGAAATTGATGTCAAATCATCTGATTTTACCAAAATGTACAAGGAGTTACCCGAACTGAAAAAGTAAATACTAATGCAACTATAGATGATAATCATTCAGAATACCCTTCCCCCTCTCCTCCCCCCGCCCACTTAACTTAATAATAATATGCTTCATCGACGCGTTTTCGCTAAAAACGAAAGAATCTGGCAGAAAAATGCGGCGGTCTGCCGGCGGTGAATTGATTTTATTAAGCGTCCAAGTTTAAGACTTTAAAGGTTAAGATATCTGTCAGTCCGACTCAATACAGTGCTATGTAGATATACATTCTGCATTAATCACACAAATTTCCTACTTTACAAACACAAATTTGCTGCTAAGAATTGTATGCTTAAAGCACTGAATTTGTGTAATTAAAGCAGAACGTATGCATAGTGCTGTATCGAGTCGGGATGACAAGATATCTTAATCTCTAAAGTCTCAAACTTACACTTAATAACTCGATTCAGAGGTTGGCTGTCGTGTTTTTCTGCCAGATTTTTTTCGTTTTGAGTGAAAATGCGTCGACAAAGTATTTCTATTAAGATTTTAGGTGGGAGAAGAGTATTCTATTCTAAATAATTATACCTTATAAATAAATATTTTACTTTATAATTAAATTCTTAAATACATGCTATTTATATGTAATATTTTTGTCAGTGCCAGTGATATTGTTAAAAAGATGTTTACGTTACAATTTCTACCTCGCAAAGAAACAATTAATATTAGAAGAGACAAAATCTTGGAATTGGTTCAAAGACACAAATTAGATCAAAATTCGCCAGAAGCTATAAGCAAGTATAGCTCTACTATAAACAGGATAGATTATATAGATAGAATAATAGGCTAACCTTATCATGCTTTTACTTTTCAGTTGCCATTATGACTAATGACATACATCAGTTGCAAGAATATTTAACAGAACATCCCAAGAACCCAAAAATGAAAGTTAAATTGCTAGAAACAATTGCAAAACGAAGGAAAATGCTCAGATATTTACGGCAATGGGATTATAGACGTTTCGAATGGATCTTGGAGAAACTTAATCTTGTTTACAAACCATTACCCGAGTGAGCGCTTTACAAAATATCAATATACATTTATTCTATATTTTGCTGAAATTTTATAAAACTGATCTTACTTTCTATAAAACATTTAATAGGTTACCTCATCACATTACCAGAAAGGATTCTTTAAGACGTTTAACAGAAAAGTATTGTAATGAACTTGTGCAAGAAAAATTGGATATTTATAAAAAAGAATTGGAAAAGTTACAAAAGGATTTTTATATAGAAAAGGCAGAGAAGCTTGCATTTATCAGGGAGGAAGAAATAGCATGTGGATTACAACCGTCAGTGAGCGAGGAGGATATTGCAGATGCTAAGCAGAAAGCAAGAGAATATATATATATATATATATATATACCAATTTATTATAATTTAGAAACAATACAAGTGTAAACGAAAGTTTACATTGTCAATCAGTGTATCTTTTCACGTTTCATTTTGTCTATTCCATTTAATGAACATTCTCATGATTTATATGAAATTTGTGGCAACCGATTTCTTGTAAACTTGAGGGGAAGATTTTTATGAAAAATACATAATAAACAGTACAGAATAGTACATGATATGAGATCTTGGAAATTCTTAGTTTTTCGTAAATAACCGTCCTATAAACCGCGGGGACAATGGATCATCTTTGTCATCGTCCATACTGTACCTTTTTTAAACCAATTGCACGCCGCGGCGTGTTCATCTGAAATCTCTGCGCGCTTATTATATTTGTGAAAATTGTATACTGATCCAAGTAACGAGGCTTTATACTCATTAAATAAAAACGAAAAAGAAGGTGGAAAAAATCTAACAACGAAGACTTTTGCATTTGTGTTCTCAATTATTATATTTACACGGATCACAGTATGTTTCTCGCTACGTAAATAATGTTATAATTCCGGATCAGAGATTGTCCGTAGTACGGTTAGTATTGCAGATAATATATATTAGCATCGAGGTATATACAATTATTATTTATATGTATATGTACTATTATTAATTGCGCGCAGTTATTTCACATATTATACAATTAAATCAGCGCGTGAAAAATATAAGTTGCGTCAATATAGAATTATATTATCTTGCTGTGAATCAATTATCTCGAGAGAATTATCTCGCGTAAAAGAATCGTGTCATAAAATCATTGATCGTTTAGATTCAATTAATTTGAATTATGCACAGCCCGATGGACAGATCATCCAATGCAGGAGGAGAACAAAAAAGGATATCTATCTAATCTAATGATCGTCTTCTTATCCTGCTCCTTTTCCGTTCTATTCTGTTCGATCCTACAAAATGCGTATATAGATTCTGCACATGAGTTTCGTTTGCTCTCAGATTTCTCTATACTTTAATGAATCGATTATCAATAATTATTACAAATTGTTAGAGACCACGAAGCAGACAAGAAAGAAACGAGAAAACAAGTCTCCACGTGAATATAAGATTAATCAGAATTAATTATAACAGTTAGTGCTTTCCAGCAAGAGCCACAGTGTAGTGTCGTAACAGTGTGATCATTTCATCTTTGCTTAATATTGGAAAAAATAACAATTAAGGATGTAATGATTGCGTTATATATTATATATATATAATATCTTGTTGCAGAAAGTACCAATAATTAGTAATTCCAGAAATAAAAATAAGATCGACATCGATTCAATTTATATCTATTATCTCTCCTTGGAGTATAAACGTTAATTTATAGATGATAAGAAGAATTAATCATCGGATTCGAAACGCAAGAAAAGCGAATCGCTTTTTGATGTAAGTATAGGAAAGTTAACTCACGCTGCAGCTTGGAGACACTGTCCTAATTTACTCTGTAAACTGTTCTGATTGTTTATAGATATTATCACGCTAGAAAACGCGCGTGTGTCTATCAAAATAGAATCTTACGAAATATCGAATGAGAGTTAGTTTTGCGCCCAATTCCAATTTCGTCTGATGCAATTAATTATGATATAATGATATTATAAGCCATGTAAAATATATCTTTACGGCTCGCAATATCATTTGTCTGTGAAAAGTTATCACGACGTATTTTTTTGTGTATGTTCCCAAATATTTCTTCTGTGCGCTTCTCTTAGTTTTAATCGAGCGAATCTTTCTCGAGGGTAAATTTATACAGGTGTATGTATGTCCATGCGTGTGTGTCTGTGTGTGTGCGCGCGTGTGTGTATATATATATATATATGCATTCTGTAAAAACTTTATTTATACAGAGCTATAAGTATATATATAGGAATTTGAATTTATATAAAGCGCAAGAGAGCGCAAGAGAAAGAATTAATATATAAGTTTATAATGTTCGCGATAAACATTCCTCTCAACCATTCGGAAACACAAGGCAAGCTTTCTTGTGCGCACCTGTTGATTCGACATCACCGTCATCATCGAGCATTAATGTAGCCTTTAGGTCAGCTATCGCGCGTTTAAATCTGTATCAACGAGTGACATTCAACTTGCCTCCGTTAAAATATCGGACCTTTATTATACAAGCTTTTACCGAGAACATTTCTCTTGATATACGTTGTACCGCCCATTGTCAAATCTGCGTCAGCTATTGCAATTACAGAACCGAAAACGCTGAAAAAAGATATTCAATATATGGTAAATACAATATATAATATAACCGATTCAAATTTTTAACGACTGCAGTTGATAGGCGCGTTCAATCCGGAAGCGGGTAGCCTGTTACCGAGCGATTGAAATATTGAATGTGATTGCAATGATTGGATCTACAAGTAACAATCAATCATGTTTAATGGCTGCAATGGCGAGCTGCAGGCTAACTACTTTACGCGAATTGAATGCGCCCATTTTTTATTTGAATTTTAAGCTAACTCTCTCTCTCTCTCTGGCTCTCTATACGCGGCAGCTAATTAACTATACATATATCTACGTATAATATATACACACACACACACACACACACACACATACGTATGTGCATATCTAATATTAAAAAATTCTTTGAGAAAAATAATCATCTCTTTTATCAAAATTTCATTTTTATCTCAGGCATACCCTAAATATTCCTTTAATTATGGCGTGATTGATGGATATACCGGCGATTCCAAATCTGCATGGGAAGAGCGAGATGGAGATATAGTTAAAGGAGAATATTTGGTGGTCGAAGCAGATGGAACTATCCGTATCGTTTCGAACTTAACTGATATTAATATATTTGATAATTGTCTTCCTTAATAAAAATTAAATTAAAACTTTGAGTCAATATCATTTCTTGAATAAATCATTTTATTTAAAAAACTGATATATATATATATATATATATATATATACTACATATATATATATGTATATATTACATATATATACATGTATATATAAATACACACACGTACGCACGCACATGTACACACACCCACACACGTCGGTGTACAGAATCACATATTTGCAGCGTTAATTGCTTAGTCACACATATACATACATTTGCACACGTCGCTCGCAGACGGATACACACATAGAAAGAGAGCCGAAAGATATTATTTTAAAGTTGTTAACTCGCACATGTATGTATATTTTATGAATGTATCTTCTATGTTAATACTTTTCACAAAATTTAAAATTAGCTTCTTAAAAATTAATGCAAGAAACATTACGGAAAAAAAACGAAACGATGAACGTACTTTTACATTATATAATTGTGGAATGTGTACTAATTATACTTACTGCCATACTCACATGACGCGCACACATGATACAAAAAAATACAATAAAACTAACGTGTTTAACTTAGAAGACAAAATATGTTGATTTAATCATATAGTTTTATGATAAAATAAAAATATTTGGTTTGTTATGTACAAAAATAATTATGTATAATATCTAATGAGATAACATTTCAGACCTTGTGACCTTCAACAAATGTTAAATACATATGATATGAAGATTACAAATGAGAAAGAAGAATTCAGTCATAAATGATGACAAATACAATGTCTCTACAATCGCTTAAAAATAATAATAGTAATAATAATAATAATAATAATAAAGAAACAAAGAGTTTTAATACATGTTTCGTTAACGTATATGACATTATTAAAATTTCTATCTTTTTCTACCTATTTCTAGCTCTTTTATTGCTATTTTTTTTCGCGCTATTTCCAGATTTATTTTTGTTGGAGTCTTTACTATTACTATGACATTCTTTGACAGGTGTTGTAATATGTTCTAAATTTCCATTGGACATTGATCCATTTGAAAACTGAATCGAAGCATTGTCCGAGCTATTAAGAGTGCCACTATTTTGGACATGTCCGCTTTGAATAGAAGTATGATTTTTCCCACTAGCTTCTTTGTTATTACTGGAAGGAATTGCATTTGAATTGCCAAAGTTGCAATTGTCTTCGCTGCCACTATTTCCAATCTGAGACTCTGATTCACTGTATCGTTCAACTGGAAGCAGGGATCTCATATTATCAAGTATAAAATGCACGCAAATTAAGAGAAAGCAAGCAGTGGAAGATAGATATCGATTTATAGATCAAGATATGCGGTTGCATAAGCGAGTGTTGAAAATATAATTTTTTTCATGTACTGACCATTATAGTACATCTCATCTTTCTTGTATCATGAGATTTTAAACATTTGTGTAATAAATATTATTCATTTTTAATTGTATTATACTATATTATATCTATTATATTTGCAAGATATTAATTGGCATTCTCTCAAAGGCATGGTTACTTACGACTCAAGATATACATGCAGCATTATTTACATGGAAGGTTAATTTCTTCAGAGGAAAATGAAGAGAGAAAAAAGCAACTATCATCATAATTTCTTATACATTAAATATTTGTATACTACTAAGCAAACAGATATGCCGTCTAAGTCTATTTGGATAATAAAAAAATTTTAGCTAGCGTCACGCATAAAATTAATTAATAGCGACACTTTACATTCGTAGATGAACGCAACATAATGAACAAAACATGTTTTTACATATATGTAATTTTCATTTCATCGAGAATATTAATTTTCCTACAGAATATCTCTCAGATGCTAGCTCTAATAATCTTTCAGACGTGAAGCAATCCAAATAAGAAAATCAGTGTGCAAATACATCTATTTATAACATGATAGTACAATAACACAATATCAGGGAATAATTTCAATCAAACATAAACAACTACTAAACATATTTATAAAATAAAAAATGCTATTTTTCTACAGAAAAGAGAATAATAAAGAAAGTATACAAAATACACAAGAATAGTATCTTTATAAACAAATATTATCATGAATATCCATTGAGGTCCTTACTTTTTTCTTGTGTGTTTTCAACGAGTCCGCTAACTGCCTATAATAGAAAATAAAATAAATTAATCTAACAACATTCTGACGAGATTAATATATTATGTGTCTCTCAAAAATATATTGAAAAAAAAAAGAGTATATAAAATTTGAACTTGGTCTCTATAAATAACAAATTCGTATTACGTATATAATAAAAATCATATACACGAGAAATAAAATTTCCTTAAATAGATGTATTTACTTACGGCCATGGAAGTAATGGAAGATTTAGAAAATAATCTTTCTGCCTCTTTAAATTTTCTATTACGCTTATCAGCTTTACTGTTAGTATTTTTATTGCTTGATAAATATCTATCCCAACCTCTTATTATGTTTCCATATAATTGAGTATCCTCTAAATAGCTTCCCTCAAAGGCATATATTTGACGTTCCAAGTTGGCTAATGTCTCCTACAAAAATTAATCTTTGTAAACATTTACCTAATAATATCTATATATTGATACACAAATCATTATTAGTAATTATTACAATTGCTGTATTTTATAACATGGCAAAAATATCGATCAGATATTTTTCGCTTTTACAAGATTAATTGTATTAAAATTTTTTTTTCAAAATACTCAACCTTCTTTTCAAGTATAACCTCATAACCTCAATCGCAAGAAATAGACTGTGTTGTAATAATTTTTATATTTAAAATGGAACGGCAATTGAAACGTGTTGAAAAATGTGCATCTTACAAACATACATGTAAGCATGTAGTGAAATTCAACACAATAATATTTGTATGCATATAAAAATTGATTTCAACATGGGTACTCACAGCAATCTCAGCCTTGCGTTTCACCAATTCCGCCAACTCCGCTCGCAAGTCTACTGGAGATTTCGTGGACATGTTTTAAATTCGTGAAAAGTTTTTTAAACGACTATGACATTCATAGAATTAACAAACTATAAACGAGTTACAAGCCAAACTGACGACACTACGCCTCCAATAACCAAGTGTTGTATGTACGCAATGCACGTATGATGTATACATTTGTACATATGCGATAGTATGTAAGTATACGTTATGATACACACACAAATACGTAAACAAATGTCTACACAGCCTATTAGTCGGAATCTCTACAATAGATTTTTAAACCTTAAGCCGTAAGAAATGGACGAATCATAGTCGATTATTCTCCTCGCACTCGACTGTAATTGGTCAATTTCTTACAGCTTAAGATTTAAATCACCTATTGTAGATCCAAACTAAATGAAGTAAGTTTAACTATAAGATCAGTTTCCGCCTATAGTTACTTTATGCTTTTTACGCTATTGTTGTTACGTCGAAACATAGTGGACCCACCATGCGTCGAATCCAATTTGGCTCATTTTAGTTTATTCTAAGGGTGAAATCATACGGTGCGGAATAGAGAATGCGTCATTGAAATAACCAATTAGCGCTATTAGGAATGCAGAATAATGCTGATTGGTTGCTTCTATGACGCATTCTCTGTTCCGCAGTCGTTTTCCGCACCGTGTGATTTCACCCTTAGAATAAGCTTTCATATAGTTACATATAATAAAAGTGGACATTGCCATGTAGTTTACATCCACTTTGTCAGAAGGCAGTAATGCGCGGCAGTACTTTGCGGTTACAGGTTTTGGGCCGTCATGTCCTCTCTCAGATAAAAATTTCTCTCTGACAAAAATCTTCCTCTCGGAGAGGAAAGCGGGAAGCACAGACTCTTGCATAACGCATAAAGCCGGTTCTACATTAGTTGTAAGCTGATCGCAAGTTTATTGCGACAGCCAATATGAAGCGTTGATTTCAAAATGCAAGCTTCAGATTGGCTGTCGCAACAAACTTGCGATCAGCTTGCAACTAATGTAAAATCGGCTTTATGCAAGAGTCTGTGCTCCCTGCTGAAGTTTTGATACGTACCTTGGTTCATAAATGACAATATTAATGAGCATGCGCAGTTGTAAAATGTTATTGAATTATCATTTTCCAACTTATCGACATAAAGAAACTTTGAAATTAAATAATAAGAAAACGAGACTTAAGCGATGATTTTTGTTCTGAGAATATATTCTATGTGTGGAAATACACAAATTTACAAAATTCAGGAAAATCGGAGGTGGAGGCGTTATACTGCATATTTACCTTTGATTATCATCCAAGTAAAATTAAATATTAAAATATTAAATAATAGTGTGTATACACACACACACACACACACACACACACACATATGCACGTATATTATGTATGCATAATTGTGATTTTTGTATTGCATCAACTGTTCTATTTGATGAATTTTGATTAGCGCAACTGGAGATGTGCTTATAATAACCGTTATGTTGTACCGTTGTAAATGCCATAAGCAGTACGTATATATACATGTATACATATATGTATGTACATTCAGATATGTACGTGCATAGGTATATCATGATGGAAGGATCTTTTCCACGCAATATATACGTATACGTATGCAGAGAAAGTATGAGAGAGTCCACGCGCATGTATTTTGCTTCGCGAATTATGATTAGATTAAAGCACATATATGAAATAATCTTATGTACCGTGAGAATTAAATGTATAATGTTACCTCAATTTTTTTAACAATATAACGGAATAACGAGCGATGTAATTATACAAGTGTACGGAGAATGGAAGACAAGAAGTTCCGTTACACCGCGCGACAACAGAAAAACGTAAATATTTCGCTTTTTATATTTGTAAAGTAATTTCATTTCATCAATCTTACACATCATAATTGGCGTTATTCTATATATAAACTCTG